AATAGATATTTAGAATGGTAATATCCTCCTGAAGGAGAGATCCCGTAATTAGTATGTAGTGACCTTCTTTATCTCTTCTCACGAATTTTAATTTGAAGTCTATTTTATCTGATATTAGGATTGCAACTCCTGCCTGTCTATGGGGGCCGTTTGCTTGGTAGATTTTGTTCCAGCCTTTCACATTGAAAATGTATTTGTTTTTACGGGCAAGATGTGACTCCTGAAGGCAGCAGATAGAAGGATCTTGCTTTTTAATCCAAGTAGACAGTCTATGTTGCTTAATTAGAGAATTAAGTTTGTTAATGTTGAGAGATAGGACTGAGAGGTATTTGGGAGTTCCTGCCATGTTATCCACCTTCTTGGGGGCTGCGAAAACTGGGTTCTTCCTATGGTTCTTGGATTCTCAGTTTGGGTGCAGTTTCTTTGCCTTTTATTGTAGTCTTGTTGGTTTTCTATGCCAATAATCCATCTGCTTATCAGAATAGGTGAATGGGGCTCCTGTCAAAGTCATCAGTATAATGAGCAAGATCAAGGCTGAAAGGATAGAATTGTTTTCTGGACTAATGGTCCCAACCATTATTGCTATGGTGCTTTAATTTCCTGAAGTTTGCCTTTCAGGTTGAACTTCTTTGACCTGAAAGTACATCAGCATCTGATATCCTCACCAGGTTTCTTTTCTTCTGTCTTGGAAATTACCTGACTTCATCCTTTAAGAACATTTTTGTTGCCCCTAAATTATATATCTCTTATTTTGTTTGCTCATTGATTTACATACTAAAAAACACTAATCTTGAAACTGATTTAACCGATTGAGTTCAGTTCCCCTTATAGAACTACCTTCTTATTCTCACACCAAGGTCAAGGAGGAATGGATTATTGTATTTCAAAAGAAAGATGGTTATAGTCATTTTAAAAGGCAAATACTCTGTTCTTAGAGATTCTCCCCCACCAAAGAACTAACAGATTCATATTAAATATGTTTTTCATAATTAAAAACACAAACAGTCCTCCAAGACATTTGGCTTCATATATCAGGACTGCTTTATCATGGGCAAGTTCTGAACTTTAAAGGGGAAGTTGGCTATATATAAGTGGTTTTTCAGTTCATTTTTCTTTTCTTGTTTTCTAAGAAGCAAGATTTAAGGCCATTAACAGGAAAAATGTATTTTTGCCACATGAATTTATCTTTCTCTTCTTAGAAAATTAGAATGACATAACCCATTAGCTTCTGCCTTCACTTGCAGATATCTAGTTGACTTTAATACTCAGTTGCAAAAGTTCTCTCATTTCAGGTGTATAGACACCTGCTTATCTGCTTATCTGAACAGATCATTGATTCTTTTCATTGTCTGACTTTGTTAGCCTTCAACTTGCTTCACTTATCAGGAATCTTCTTTTAGAAAGAAACAGGATATAAACTGATATACATCAGTATGAAATTAAGGTAGATTTGCATTGTTTCTTGATGTTGAATGTGTGCACACATGAGTGTGCATGTGTGTAAAGGCAGGACAATTTTAAAAAGGGTTTTTTTTTCTCCCAAAAGGAAAGAATATGTTACAGACTTTAGTGGAAAACATCTTATTCCCAGCCTACCTAATGAAATATTGAGAGATACTTAGTGCTTTTAAAGAAATACCTTTGTTCTATACCCCAAGGGCAACGAATCTTGTGAATTCACTTGTTTTTATTTTTATTATAGGCCTGTGGGGGCTAGGTATGTGGACTGTTTTGTGGCAGCTAATCACTTTAGACTTAAATGGTAACAATAATTTCTTGTAAAGCCTATTGAAATTGCCTATTAACCTGGTTTACAGTGCTTCAAGAATAACTTTAAAAATAAACCTCAGTAGCCTGCAATTTGATGTAATCCTTGAAAGAAGTAACTTAGTGAGAGGAGTCCAGGGTTTTAAAAGCTAACTAGTAAAAATAAAATAAAATAAAATAAAAGCTAACTAGTAGGATATATGTTTCATGCTCTTACCACTAAAAACAAACAAGTCATACAGCTTTCCCTTTTTATGATACTAGGGTTTGAAACCAGGACCTCATGAAAAGCAAGTACTTTACTACTTGAGCCAAGCCTTGAGCCCTTTTTGCTTTAGATACTTTTCAGATAGTATCTGTCATTGTTGCCTGGGGTATACTTAATTGCAGTCCATCCACTCTGCCTCCTGCATAGCTACTTGTCTGGTTTGTTTGTTGAATGGGGCTTTGTTAACCTTTTGTCTGGCTGACCTCTAACCACAATCCTCTAGATCTCTTGTTTCCTAAGCAGCTGGGACGATAGGTATGAGTCTTGATGCCTGGACATCTTTTTACTCCTTATTGTCAGTGCCAGGAACTGCCAACTATTAAAGATCTCTGAACTTGATCATTTTAAAAGCTAATGATTATATTATGTTGAACCCAGCATTACTCTAATATGGTAAATGATCTTACAAAAGAACCTTAAAAATCTCATGAAGTCTTGCATATTCTGTATGTTTTGGCTGCAGCCCTACCACTTACGTTTTGGATGAAGATGAACCTCGATTCCTTGAAGAAGTTGATTACAGTGCAGAAAGTAATGATGAGTTAGATATTGAATTGGCTGAAAATGCGGGAGATTATGAACCTTCTGCTCAAGAAGAAATACTTTCTGACTCTGAATTACCCAGAACATACCTACATTGAACCCTCTGTCATTTCCTGTTTACTGCAAAGCAGATACAAAATATCTTGTTTTTTATTATACAGGAAATTTGAGAGAAAAGAGTTTTAGAGAACTGACTCAAAAAAGACCAAAAGTAACTTGGGCTTTTTGGTTGCAAGACAATAAATGTTATTAATTCATGATGAAATTGGCACTTGTTTTATTTTAGATATTCAGTTTATATAGCATTAAATTATCAAATAATGGATTTACTTAAAAAAAAAACAACAAACCATACTCGAATATCATTGCATGAGTTTTTATCTCCTTATAGTACCTGAGTCAAATGGGTAATTTTGAAGCTGTCCAAATATAAAATTTAAGTTTTAGAATTGTTGATTATCTGGAATTGCTGAATTCTAATATTTATGTATATGGGTTCCTGTAGATGTGTTTGTGTTGAGGTGAGTAGATAAGACTGTTCCTCTGAATCGTGTTTACTGTTGGATTGTAACTAGCGTAATCTAGAATTTACTTTGAAAACATTACATTTTACATTTACTAAATTAAATAAAAACAATATCAAATATTGCATTTACTTCGTCATCCTTTTAACCATTCTAGATTATGTAATGTATAGAACTTTTTATACATTTGAGAAAGATCCAATACTTGAACACATTGATAAAAAGATTCCTTAAAGGGCTGGGAAGGTGGCTCACTGGTGGTAGAGTGCTTGCCTTGCATGCATGAGGCCCTGGGTTCAATTCCTCAGCACCCACATAAGCAGAAAAGGCTGGAAGTGGTGCTGTGGCTCAAGTGGTAGAGTGCTAGCCTTGAGCTGAAGAGCTGAGGGACAGCGCCCAGGCCCAGAGTTAAGGCCCCACGACTGGCGGCAAAAAAAAAATCCTTAAAATACAGCCTAATTTATTAGTCTTAAAATTTCAGTTATTTGATGGGCTGGGAAGGTGGCTCAGTGGTAGAGTGCTTGCCTTGCATGCCTGAGGCCCTGGGTTCGATTCCCCAGCACCACATAAGCAAAAAGGAAAAAAGCCGGAAGTGGCGCTGTGGCTCAAGTGGTAGAGCGCTAGCCTTGAGCTGAAGAGCTGAGGGACAGCGCCCAGGCCCAGAGTTCA